ATTATTAGGAGTAGTGCTATTTATTATTATTTTAAAAAATGTTATTCATCTTTGATCACTTGTTTTGTGAAAATATTATACAGCTTTTGTTTTTACATTTTCACATGAACTCGACTTCTATCTATGCCTTTACAAATAAACAGTGCAATGCACGGAACATTTGAATAAAGATTGAAGTACATTTTGAGCTTTGAACTTTGTTTGAACATTATATTGGTACGTTATAATTTGCTTTTCTTTTGTCTTTGTATTGTTCTGAGATGTTGTGTAATACATTACCACTTCTGTTATCTGACAATAGCTTGAAGTGTGTTCCAAGTGTTTATTTGTGTTTGCAAAATAAAACTGTATATGTTTAACATCTCTTTCAACACTGTAAGGCTTTTAAAGAGGTGTGACATCTTAATTTCACATCCATCTTTAATAGGCAGAGCCAAATGGATGGACAGCTTTAAAAACTCCCTAAAACAACTCAAGTTCAGAATACCTCACTGGAAAATTGAACCACATCTATCCACTTCATAGTCCAGCATGATACCAATTGAGCTAAAGGTGTGCACCTATTTGTGTTTATGTTGTTTTCAGGAAGTGGCTGTTCTTAGCCTTGAGGTCAAGAAGAGGGATATGCAAGCAGAAGGAGAGCTGGCCTCGGATGAAGATGTCAAGGTCGCACTGCTGGCAGAGCTTCAGATGAAGCAAGATGGGGAGGCTGCGCAAATGATGGAAACTCTTACTGCTGTGGTCAGTCGTATTTCTTTGTGTCCGGTTCATTAATCAGGGATGCAGATTTTCTCTATAAATCAAGAAATCCAGATTTCTGTAATTGTCAAGATTTTGACCAACTTCTTCATACAAGATGTATTAGACACTTATTACTATCCATACATTTCAATTTCTCCCAGGTGTGTTTCTACAGAGACCAAAATGCTCAGGAATTTTTTATAGCCAGTTGGCACTTATGATGAGGGCATCTGTTCTTTTGTCATCATAATGAGACTTGCGTGAGGCGGTTTGGGCAAGCCTAACTATCGGCACCTTTCGGACCACCTCTCCGTCTTCTTTCCTGGGTTTGCCTGCTAGGCAGCAGGGTTTTTTTATCAGAGTTTTCCTTCTCCTAGATGAACTGCCATCCCTGGCTAACGATTTCCATCTACCCGGGGTGTGGGGATATCACGCCCCAGTCTCGCTGGCGAGTCTTTCACCGGGCACTTAGGGTATTTTACATTGAGTAGAAGAATGGGATCCCACACCACAGTCTTCACCCCGCCCTCCAACCTCACCGCCATTTGGTCTGCGACTGCTTATTTAGATATTCGCAGCTAACCTCTATATCTAGAGGCTGTTCCACTATCCGCCACCTGTGGACGCACTGGGTTGTGATTTTTTTCCCTCTTGAAGTTTTGGGACAAAATTAGTGAAGTTGAAAAATTGTTGAAATTTTTTTATATATAAAGATCCCTCCTTAAAGAAGCTGAGAGAGACAATTAAAAGTTTGGTTAAATATCATATTTATACAAGGGACAACAATATTAATTCAAGAACAGAATTACTGTTTGTAGTTGGGTATCATAACTATTATAATTACTCTTAACGTCGTTTCCTTTAACTTTGCTGCATCTTTTTCGATTGTGTATTTCAAAGAATTTTTATAGTGACAAAAGTCTGTTTACCCAAATTTTGGATTGTTTATTTTGTCTTCTATAATTTTAATATCTTTGGGGACTTTGCAGTCATTTGAACTTTGTAGTGTTGGATAAACTTCTTTTGCCTTTTTGCCTGTCTGATTTACTGAGTTATGGGAACAGTAATAAAACGTATAGTGTTGGTGTAATGAATAACTGATTGATCAAGTCAAACAGAGCTGTGTTTTTTTTGTGCTACATCTGAGGTTAGAATTTGTTTTTAGAGAATCCTGTTTGACATGTGTGGGTGAGGCATAGTGCCAGGAGAGACAAGTGTGTCCTGTCTGATGGGGAGATGGAGGAAGAGTCCAAAGCGGGAGAAACAACCCTCAATTTTGTTTCTACCTCTGCGCTAACCTACATACCTGATGAGTCTAACAAGGGTCTTCCCTCCTACAGTATAATGGTGTCCTCAGTTTCACATTTTCATTTATTCACAGGACAATGAACACAAGAAACAGATTCTGAATTCCCAAAGAAAACAGCTAGAAGATAAACGCTATGACAACGTAGCAGGAATTTTGTTTACCTTCGCCAATGAGGAAGATATATTTGGGGAAGGAAAGGGAGAGGATGAGGAAGAAAAGACAGAAGAGGAAAAAGAAGATGATAAGGTTGTGAAAGCCTTAGAGAAAAAGTATGACGCAATGAGAGACAAACTACTTATTGAGGTTTGTATGATTTATGTCAATACAGTTTTGAATTTAGATTTCAGTGTTCTTTTAATCTTACTGAAAAAATCTCAGTATGGTTTTGTTTAATTGCATAAAGAGAAGCACATGGATACGATAAAGTGCAAGAAAAAGTGAGATTGATAGACAGCAACAATAGAAGACAAGAAAAGAGAAAAAATAAGATCTTTCAGTGACTTCCTTCAACCACTATGTAGTAAAAAAAGTTTTATTTAATTGAATGTAAAATAGCTTAGTTTGCTGCACTACTACACCCAAAAGCTGACCACATGTACTGCTTTGCCATTTCTGAGGTAACATTTCCTAGTGGTGTATAGTTCATTATTTATTTATTAATAGTGTACCTAACACACTGTAGGGATAGAATCTGGTTGAAAAACTTTGGAATTAGTACACAAATAAATCCTAAGCTTGCATGAATTATGCAAAACAGCCCTAGATACTAAAAAACATTAAATGTTTTAGAAAAAACATTACAAATTTGTATGATTATCTTAGTTTCTCTAAGTCAGAATCTTGAGCTCCTGTTGGGTATTGTGCTGTTAATGAATGATGTCGATCCACTCCAGGCTCTTATGAAAGAAATGGGAGAAGGTGACTGGAACAGACTTTCCGAGCTGGAACGACAGAAGAAACTTCTGGAGCTCAAGATGAAAGAGAAAAGACTGAGGAGAGAAGGAAAAATGGACGAAGTGGCTGCCTTGCTGGGACAGTTTTTGGATGACAATGAAGGTTGGCCTATTTTGTGAACATTTCTTTGATCTATCAATATGTTTTTAATTTTGGGGCTGTGAGTGCTAAATAGAATAATCAAATGTGGAGAGGGTGTGATAAATGATTATTGGTGATAATAATACTGACAATAATAAAAATCATATATTTTTTAGTTGTGAAAGGAAAACTGGCTGTGGAATGATTATAATAATGATGGTGATTTTGATGATAATAATAATCATCATAATATTATAATGACAATGATATTGAAATGACAATAATGATAATAATAGCACCAATGATAATCACAATAATTATTGTAATGATAATACTATTGATGATAACAATACGAAATGATGTTGATAAACTAATAATAGTTATAATAATTCTTATAAATAAAATAATAATCAAATGAGTTTTGGTATTTCCGTACCTCAATTTTACAGTGTGTTTGATGTAGCCTTATGCTTTTGAAGAACAAATTAGTGTCCACATTACCCAAAGTAACAGAAAGGCATTTGTTTTTCCTCTGTGCTCTTCTAGAGATGCGTCGCATGCTGGGGGAGACAGAGGAAGACCAGAAGAGACGAATGCAGGAGAAATTGGCCCTGAGGAGGAAGCTGAAGGAGGAGAGGGAGGCCCAGGGGCTGGCTGTTGATGATGAGACATTGGATGAGCTGGTTGAGGAGGAGGATAAGAAGATACGCAGAAGGGTAGGCCTACGTTGCTGCTCTAGAATTTTCTCTGAGGTTATCTGGTTTTGATTTTGATTTTGATTTTAATATTGATAATGTGAATGTACATTATAGTGCCTAACCCCTAGCAGGCTGTAAGCCCTAAACGGTGTAGAATTGTTACTAAATACAACTGACAAATCAAAAAATAGAAAATGTGCATTGTGTGACCTTAACAGCAAACACACATTCACATTCACACACCCACACACACACACACACACACACACATGCACACACACACACACACACACACACATACACATACACTCACTCACACACCACACAGACCCACACACATTCTCACATACAAAAACCTTCCTAATGGGACTTTCTAATTGGTACTTTTTGTTCCTATTTCCACTATTTCTTTCTGTTATGATATTTTTTTCCTGCAAACTACAGCCAAACCTACTCAAACGACCCCTTGTCCAAGTCAGTCACCTTTACAAACAGGTTTCTCTCTTGCATTTTGATATGTATGTGTCACGAGGCGGTGGAAAACCAGCTCTCGTCAATTTTGGGGCATATGGAGTTATTTTTATCATCTTTAAGCCTGTCCATTTGCCTTGCTTTGGATGAAAAAAATTTCCTTACAAGTCAAGATATTGGCAATTAAAGGAGGTGGGAGTCGCCTGGTTTTAGAGGTAAAATTAACAAGAAAATGGCAGCCAAAGTTGAGTTATTTCCTTAGCTGAAGAGTCCGTGGAAACTGAAAACGTACATCTTTTGTGGCTTTAATCAACAATTTTCAGTATAATACTCTCAGAAATGTGTTCTTAAATGGGCATGAAAGGAGTTGAGCCAAAAAACAAAAATTTGACAAAAATGTTCAAATTGGCGAAAAAATGCCTGTTTCTCCGATTTTGTCATTTTGACAAGCGCCTGATTTCACCACACTGCCTCACATAATATTATAATGACCCTGTCCAAGACGACTACCTGTCTAAGAACACTTTTTCCTTCAACAATGGGAGGTCGTCTTGGACAGGTTTGGCTTTATAATTATAATTATTAATGTGTTGGTTTTCCTCGCTTTTTATTAGCGCAGACAACTATAAAAGACTAATATGAATTGTATTTTTGTCTCTTTAGAATGTGCTGGAAAATCTGGATCATCAGTTTGAAGCAGAGAAAGCTGCTCTGTTGGCTGCCTTCAAAAAACAGAATGACCAGCTGGAAAGGGAGAAAGAGAGACAGCTTGCCGTAGCCAAGTTAAAGGTAAAATATTCCGTCCTTTATTCATTCATGAAAGGGTGTTTTCTCTTCAAAGAGGTTGTGTGAGGGTGGGGGCTGCGATGATTGATAAGTGGACATTGAAAGAGAGACAATTCGCCTCAGTTAAGTTAAAGGTGAAATATTTCTTCATTTATTATTTGTGCTTGAAAGGATATTTTCTGGGTGGTGGGGAGAGGGGGATGGAGGAGCTGGGGTGAGGGGTAGCACTGCAATGATAAGTGGTGTGTGAATTCTGTATGTGAAATGTGCAAATGCCAAGAAAAACCTCATAGCAAAGACTGCTTTTGGATCCTTGACAATTGATTCGTCTTTGGAGACATTTTTGTCCTTACTCACAAAGGCCTTGCACCGCGGTGACCTGCAGTTGTGGTTTGTGTCTGAAATTTTGTGTAGTGCATAAACAATTTTTTGATTAATGTATTCTGTATGCCGTGGTTGAAAATGGAATGCCATTGGGCACCAAATTTTTCATTAGAGGCAAATAAAATGGTCTTGTATTCCTTTCTTTTGAAATAAAAAAGTCTTGATAATTGTAAGATTTTCTTTACTTGTATGCATTTTTTGTAATGTTTATTTTGAGCTTCGTATTTCCAATTTCAGAAACATTCCTAAGCAGAATGTGCAATAATGCACACGAGAAGAACTTAGTGTTTCTAATAACATTGCATTTTCAGAGAAAATTTGTTGTGTAAGGACAGATTTGGCAAAAATAATTTCAAGAAGTCATTGTCTAATGAATTTGCTGGACCATCTCCTTAATGTAGTAGCTGTTCACTGTTTCAAATTGTGTCACTTTATATTTGCAGCGTGAGGAGCGGAGAATCAAACAAGAAGAAAAGTTTGAGTCAGCGGCGAACTTAATGGCCTTGTGGAAGGAAACGGATAAAACTGTTG